CAATGGAAGATCAGGGAAATATGCTACAGGATCCAGAGAAAATGTAAATTTTGAATGTGTTGTATGAGTGTTTATTTATTACACACTGCCATTGACCCATGGCATTTCTGCAGAAATATGGTTACAAGTATTGCTCTTCTGTCATAAGTATCCTTCTAATCTATACAGCAAAATATATTGACATTGGTTTTCCATTTTACTTATGTACTTGTACTTGAAATAAAATTATTGCATATGGTGGTAGACCTATTTACCCCAGACACACGTGTGCCTGTGTGTTTGTGCACCCCAAATCTGAAGGCATACATTCATGGTACTAATGTATATACTGCACTGTTACTGAGCAGTATATGTTTACAGTTTTATTACTTTTTTGTATTTCATTTTTCATTTAAACAGTTTTCATTTATTAGAGATAATTTTACAGAGAAAATTTTATCATCATCTTTCTATTTTATCTAGCCTTCATTATAAACATACTACTGAACTTGAGCCTGGTTTTCAAAAGTATCTGTGCGTCCCTTTGGACACTGTATAACAATCATATGCATTCATGTACACATATATTAAGATCACATAAGAATTGAATATTTATTTTCTCAGACTATGACATAAAAATGTTATTAGTCATTACAGTTATTTAATAAAACACTTTTATGTACTTCATATCATCAAGCCATTTCTGTTGCTGTCTGTCCTCTCATATCTTAGCTGTGCATAAGGCTAATAACCTTACCGCCATCTGTGAGCCGATCGTCTACAAATTGTGGGAGTCTCGACATTTCACAACCCTGTGGGCCTCCACAGCCTGTTACAGGATAGGTTTACCTTTACCTTACCTTATCTTACTTCACATAAAGTAGTTTCCTAATTGATACCAGAAATTTAGTCATGTTAATACATTTAATAATAGCATTAAATAACAGGCAGATAGAACAGACAGATATGCACTGTGAAGACAATTACTCTTATGCATTTTTCTGTAGAGTGCATAAATTATCATGACCTGTGGCACTGCTGGGGAGTGTAGTGCAGTAATTGTTCCATTGTTTGTTCCTGTGATCCTGCATCTCCACAGAAGTTGTCAATTAGAGCATTTGAGCACTTTTGTAAATTGTGAGCCTGGTATGAAGCCAAAGCTCTTTAATTTTTATTAGGCTCTGGAGTAGAGAATTTCAGTTTAGCTTGTTTTGTAGCTGAAGCGTTTGCTTCACGGACATAAGTGTAACTCTTTGACTCGCCTCCATATAGTTCCGAGGTCAAGCAAGCTGAAGCAATACCTCCACTCCCCCATATTTCTTCATGGCATAGTGATTAATTAATTAAGCACAGGGACAAAATTCTTTGAATGAAGTCGAAAACTCAACTTATTTGGGTAGTAACATTTTGTGAAATGAAAAATTAAAGAGAAATTGCAGAAGTAACACATTGATCCAAATTATTTAATCAACTGTTGGCAATATTTATTGGAACTCGAAAATTTTTGAAAAAGTGAAGATTAGTAGTTATGTAAGATGTATTACCTGGTTACTATGATATGTGGAGCAGAAATAAGGACATAGACTGTTAGAGGTGTAACATAGGGTATGGTGAAGCTGTCCGTGTGCTTAATTAAATAAGCACTATGCCATCAAGATATGTGAGGGAGTGGTGGTATAGCTCCACCATTCTTGACCTCAGCACTAGATGGAGGTGAGTTTTCAGCTTCATTCACCACCTGCTTTACCCTCAGGGGAAAATCCCCGCATTATGTATTGGTTAGGAGGCTGGGTGGGTCTCATAGCTGGTCTGGCCACTGAGGGGAGAGAAAAATCTCTTGCCCCTGCTGGAACTGAACCTTGGCCATGTGGCCCTTAGCCTGTCACTACAGCAGCTGAGCTATTCTGACCTCTGTACTATGAGATGTGTAAGCAGGTAAAGAGCTGTAGTTTCTGTTGAGTATGGATACATAGCCAAAAATGAATAAATTTGAATGCAGGACATTAGGATAGATCTGGCAGTAGAAATACTAAAAGAAAGTATAGTTAAATAAGGATACAGTGATATGGACATTACTTTATATTGATGACAAGAGGATTCCTTTGAGAACATGAAAAATGTCAAATGATCACTGGGGAGAAAATATGGGGATGTAAGTTATACAAAATACATAATAGAGAGAGTGATACAGGTAAGGCCTTCCTCTCGCCAAGTCTGTTCCGTTATTGCCCCCAACAAGCAGATCGTGGCGTAAAATTTTGGGTGTATTCGAATCCCACTTGCTTCAACGTCAATTATTCCACATCCCACCTCAGGTACTGGACTAAAAATGCCAAAGCTATCTCTGTATCAGGCTTTGGAGACCCATAGGGTTGTGAGGCGTCGAGGCACCCAAATGTTTCTAGACAATCGGCTCACAGATGGCGGTGATGATGTCAACCTTACACGCCGGCTGCAGCTACTGGGCTACACCGAGGGAAAGGCACGTGTTATTATTTTAGGTTTTGTGTGTGGGGAGAGAGATTAAATATGATTACGTGACCAGCGCTTGTATGTATTTCGAGTGACAAGCCTGTGATACTAACGCTGGCCTACTCGTATGCTGAGGTAGCAGTAACTTCGAGGGCGATATTACAGCAGCAAAAAAATAATATAATTTTAGGGCTGGTACGAAACAGCTACAGTTCATGAAAAAAAAGTCGATGCGGAAGTTTCGAATTGAGTTTAAAGATAATTTCGAGCTAATTCATTGTTACGTGAATCTTTGTTGCCGTGATTATTAAGGTGTCTGGAAGAAAGATGCGAGAAATATACGGGTACGTATGTACTCGTAGTCCGTTTGTCCCCTAAGTGATAAGAGGTAATTTCTAGGCTCGTACGGATTCCTGCTGAAGCACCCACGGTATATGTGTCGATCTGTATGATCGACGCTTGGGCGTTAGATCAATGTTAACATGAAAAAATTTCTGTAATATAACCCCCCAATGTTATATCAAATTTGTACTCTTAATATAGTTCTTTCAACGTTAATGTAAAAATTGCGATCATATACCGTAAAGCACCAACTTAATTACTTTCATCTGCCCATAACAAAGTGCACATCTTAGTCCTCTATCCTGAGTCTGAGTCTGAGTCACGTTGCAACTGACGGTCAGTCAGTCTGTCTGTCTTGGTGTCGAGCCCCAGCTGGGGCTCATGACCAGATATTTCTCTTGAATGAAAGTTACTGTCTTGTCTATGTGTAGCGCCCCCTCTGACGTCCTCTACCCTTTTCACTTCCCAACTTTTATACTCTCTCAGACGTACCTCACGAGAACGACAAAGGGCACTGTCTGGGAATTTTCAGATCAAGAGAATATTTCGGTTCCCCGCCGCCCTTAAATAGTAGTGTTATCCACTATTCATCCTCACTTCCTCTTTCGTCTCTCACACTTCGCTCATCGACTTCGGGACTCTTTTATCAGAAATCTGGAAACCTACTAAAATGATGTTCTTTTTCACCCCCAATAAAGTGCCTCGCACTTCTCCCACGACTTCCTCTTTTTACACACTGCACTTTCTTACCTCTGTCTCTCTTGTATAGCGCGCGAGCACAGCATTCGTCACATAAATACCTGATGATGGAGACAGTCTCTGACACGTCAGACATCAACTCCACATTAACCGCCTAAAAAGACTTCCTTATACGAGTATACTGTTGCAGTGAAAGATTAACTCATATATAGAGTTTCTTTGTCTCCAAGTGAATCGTCCGATATATAATTTAACTTCTGTTCTGTGACGTAATTAATTAACGACATAGTTGGTCACTTCATTATAAATTGTCGTCGAACACCTCAGGAAGTTCCTCGTTCTTCTGTGACAGCACAATGGGGGACATGGCAATCGACACTTGTGACACCATTGTTTTGCTCTGTCCGTCTTTTGATTTATCTGCAACAGAAATGAATACAGTCATGTGATTACGTGAGAGCAACTTTCCAGTATTATATTTGTTTATTTCTTCAAAAACAATTTCTTAACTGGATAGGTTGAATAGGGTCGATGAGTGGGTAGTTTTGAATTATGCCTTAACGTGAAAGATAACGAGCATGGCTTATTTTATGCGGTACTGTCCCAGTATTTTCCGGGAGAGGCTGAAGACAACTTGAAGCCCCCAGGATAGTTCGCCTCCTTGTCAGGAATTGAATGGGAATATTTTGAATATTAGGAGTAATAACCCATGAATTGCAATGTTTGATCCAATTTGCTTTATGGATTCTGTTACTTTCACTTATCAGTCAGATATGACTTTTTATTCAGAGGGAGGAACATAAATTGCAGGTGTTTTAAAGTAAAGAGCTGAGGAATATATTTGAATATAAATAGCAGAATTAAACTTTTGAAGCCCAGCAGGTACCATATGTACAACCTTCTTTAACATACTAAAACCACATTCTACCCACACAGTGTATTTCTGTGTTTCGTGTGGTTCTCACAACGTTTCTCTTAAATATCATTAACTGGCTGGTCTTTGTGGCTCAGACGTAATTTGTTTACTTTTGGATACGAAATAAATTTCTGTGTATTATTTAGAAGAAACTCGCCGATTACAGTGGCCGAACGTTCTGAGGCATGTACCGTCTTCGACCGCTCAAACACTGGGGTCGTGGGTTCGAATCCCACGCGAGGCATGGATGTCTGCGCGTTTATCCTGTGTTTGTGTAATTCCGTGTGGAGGAAGAGGCCTTGCGACGGGCTGATACCCGTCAAAGGAGTCAGACCGCCTGTATGTAAAATTTAGAAACTGAAAA